TTAGCTAGACAATAACGCCGGGATTTCTTAAAATGTTTTGAAATAATCTTTTTTTTAAGGGTAACGTCGAGGGCTGTTAGGGTGCCATATTTTCTAAAAAATGAAACAAATTTTCCTGGCGTTATTTTCTAGATATTATCTTTACGAACTTACGTATAGCAAATTTGGAAATTGTTCTAACTTCATTTATAGATCAGTTATCTTGGAAAAACGACTTAAAAGTTACCTCGTGAGAGCGAAAATGTAGCTTCCGCCGCGCGGGTTGTTTTATATAGATAGAAAATGTGCATTATACTTGGCCTAAGTTTGTTTCTACCATCGAACATAAATTAATATTATAAATAACCAAATTTGGGGATTGACAATAGGCAACTTTACGTACTCCATTCGGGATGTACTGTCCATTATATTATTATACGAGCATAGGGTTAAAGAGTGCGATTAGATACGAGGTAAAGTTTGCAACACGAGCCGAAGGCGAGTGTTGTAATTATTTCCGAGTGTCATAATCGCAATATGCAAGTAAATTACGCTATTTTATATACGACTATTTAATTAAATAAAAAATGCGGCATCTGAACAGTTTGAAACGCGGCAACTTCATAGCGGTCGCAATCAATTTGCACAAAAATTTCAAGTAAGGAACCTCATCCTTTCAAAGCATAAAATTAACTAAAATACTTAAGACGTGATATCACTTCTGTATAAACAATAATGAAGGTTTTGTCAAGCAACATGATGCTTTCTTCCATTTTATCTTACAAATTGACCACAATATATTAGTATTTAATAGAAATTCATATTTACAGTAATCGGTGGAAAAAATCAGATTATTTGACAACCGTATCATTTTAATGTGTGCAAATTTCGTAGCGAATGGAACCGATTGTGCCAACTTGAAAAACAATTATTCGTATTTTCTAACTTATATTACACAAAAGAGGATGGTGTTGAATGTGCTTGCATCCTGATTGCGACGATATACAATGTGCTAACTTTCTACTTTTATGATCATGTTGTATTGATCTGCTTGTCACTTCTTGACAAAGCAGCTCAATTATATATTAATGAACCTAGTACTATAACTGAGATACGTTTTGTAACTCAATATTCATTTCCCAAAAACCCAGAATCATGCGGAACACCGTTTAATGTAATCGGTTGAAAGCACAGGTAATGATACTGTACTGAAAAATTGTAAGATACGCTTAACTCCTACAACCATTAATTATACTAACTGTAACATCAATTTTATTGTAAGAATCAATTCTCAACAATTACTCCTTTCTATCGATTAACCTAATTACAGAAACATCGTGCGATGCGATTGGGAAAGTCAACGTGCAAATGAAATAGATACATTAAGTAAATCCCATCAAATCTATAGCATAGCATTAAATAAAAACTTAATTTTTTATTCAATGCCTATACTCTCGGCTGACTAACAATCCCGAAATAAAAATACTTAATTGAATATCATAGAAAAGCAGCTGCATGTCAGTGAAGTTAGCCTCGCCCACTAAACAAATTCAGAAACTAATGGGTATTATCGTTTGTTTTTTGTTAGGGATTGTTGGTTTTGGCAAAAAAATCGTTTGTTTCGGAATGCAATTGGCATTACAAGATTTATAAAATTAGCGAGGCTAATGGGGCCCCTTCACGTGCATTCCCGGAACGACGCGCCATCGGTTTTGGAACGAAGCGTGGAGCGCCAACTTCTGGCGCGTTGTGCAGTGAATAAACTACACGTTAACGGACCCATAAATAAGGAAGTTGGCACTTATTGCGCAGTTGATATTGCGCGTCCTGCGCATGCGCTTATTAATCTGATATTCGTTGGAAAATGCGCTAAAAAATGTCTAGGCGGCCTGCTCAAACTTCACACAAGCCCGACTCAAATTAAAAAAATTCGCAATGCGTTAATTAGGTATTGTAAATTAACACAATCGGTAAGACTAGCTCTTATACTACCCAGTATCCATCCCATTTATTTAATTGTTGATTAACATTATTTCAATTGATTCTTTTATGACCGTTTGCACCGACAAACTTAAGCGGAGAGCTTAAGCGTAGCTTAAATTCCATGGCAACAATTATTGAGATAATGGTTGCCATGGATTTTAAGCTAGGTACGCTTAAGCCAAGCCCCGCTTAAATTTGTCGGTGCAAATGGCAATTAGTCTGTTTTGCCACAATCAACGTTGCTAAACGATTGTTTTCAAGAATATGTAATTCGCTGCACGTCCTTCGGTTGAGAGGGGTTTTCTTGTTAAAACCACAGGTGTAGTCAAGTTATGGAGGGAGTGTAATTGACAAAGTGTTAAGGGCCATGTAAGTTCTATAACAAAAACTTAGATGTAACTGTGATAAATTCACTGACAAATGCATAAAACAGCGTTTTTAGTGGTTATATTTTGTTTCACGGACCCTCCACACCCCGCACAATACGATACCTAACCATCACTGTACTAACATTTGCCGCCGCCAAGATGTCATCCTAGATTCGCCATCTTACTGGAAGTGTTGCAAAGACAACGTTTTTTGTGAAAAAAATCAACTAACGATTGTGTACCTGTTGCTGTTACTACAATTTAATTTAGCTCGGGCTAGTATATCGAGTTGGCCTGCCCACTCCCGAACGCAGATCTAGAATCCGTAAACGAGCGCACGGTCATCGTGTTTGACGAGTCCGGCCGACGCAGTAGCGCAGTAGTAGAAGTAAATATAGATTTATAATGGTATCCATAAAACTTACTCTAGAGCTAGAGGATGATGTAGTGGACACCACGGTCTCAGTCTTTGGTTCACCATGATTTTCACTACTAATCCTTGTCCTCGCTCCGCCATGAGTCTGTATTTCTATACAAACGAAAGTCTTACGTAGTTTAGTAACATAACATACAGTGATGATCAAATATTATTTTGTTATATTTTTACCATTTTCAAATTTCAATGCGATGAAATGTATTTGTTATATTAATTTTTAAATTGGTACCTACCTACTTATTTAATAAGTGGCCGGGCATTAGGCCGCCAGACATTAGACACAGACAATAGGATGCGGGCATTAGGACGCCGACATTAGGACGCAAACACTGCAACGCGGAAATTAGGACACCAATCCTAGGCTCGGACTAGACGTCTGCTTTGTAAGGTGATCTACATGATCACAGGCTTCCTTTTTTGTATTTTTGTTTGAAACGTACCGTTATTCCTGAAATTGTGTAGTAATTTGCGAATTGTAGCATCTGTGGGTTGCGCCTAGTCAGGGTATCTTTCGGAAAAAAGACAAGTCCTGGCAGCTATTCGATTACAATCACCGTGTATTAATATTCAATTCACAAAATCTTCATTAGTGTAACCCAAACGAGCCATTATTGACCAGAAGTGTAAGTTCAAACAGCGAAAAATTTGACGTTTAAACATTATCATAATAAAAACAAAAGAATAACATCAAGCGACTTAATTTTTTTATCAATTTTCCACAAGAAGTAACTAAAACATGGAATATCTCGGAAACCGTTTGAAGCAGCTTTTGGCATTTTGCATCAAATTAAAGGTCTGGGAAAAAGGAAAACAAGGGTGAAGAACAAAATGAGGGGTGCCATTTGAAAAAATGGAGTTACGGATATTTAAAAGTTTAAAAGTTGAGAGCTTTGAAAAAGTGACGTAGTCTCACTTTTTTAGACTGTTACGCATACCATAAGAAAATTCGATCTTTCCTCAATAAAGCACTTGAAAACTGTTTTGCAATATCTCTCACCGTTTTCGAATAATAAATTTTTAAAATTACCCCTGCAAATTCAATTTTTGACACAAAAACTTGAATATCGGCAAAGCCCTTGGAGCAAAGGATCAACTATGGGGTATCGTTGTACTCTAAATTCGACGTAGAATCCGAAAATATAGAAAAAATAGGGGGCCTCTATTTAAAATAACAAAGTTGGTGGCTACTTCCGGTATTTCCGGAAGTGGCGCCATTTTGAAAATACTTTAGTTCAATTCATCATGTGCCAAAACCCTTAAAGGACTTATCAGTTTAGCTTAATTTTGAAAGGTTTTCCATATCTTTCTAACTGACGCTCGTCAAGAATGACCCTGTATATCTAGGTAGGTAAATAACTATTACTGGAAATTGCATTTCACAACAAAAACGTTGATTTAAGCAAAAAAAGAAGCAATACCTAAAACGAAAGAATCTTACTCAATTTTGAAAAATAGAGTGTGGGTCGGACAGTGTGAATTTTGTGAGTTCTTTGATACTTATCACTTTGCGAAACATTGTCAAAACAATCAATAACTACCGATTTTCCACCTTTTAGCATCAAAGTAATTAAAAATTTATTTTGGATCGGGCTGGTGTGACAGCTGTCCACATTTTATTTTACTGTAAAGCGGATTTCGCAAAACAGACGATTATTATACCAAAACAATAACTAAACACCTAAAATGAAAGATTTGAAAAAGTCGAGTGTGGGTTGAGCATGGTGAAGTTAGCCTCGCCAAATTTCCAAGTTTTTTAAATCCTTATCGCTTTGAGAAACAAACCTTTTTTTGTCAAAACAATCAATAACTAACGATTCTGCACCTTTTAGCATCAGAGTAAATAAAATTTTATTCTGGGTCGGGCTGGTGTGAAGTTAGCCTACCCACAATGGTGTTTACTGTAAAGCGGATTTTGCGAAACAAACGTTGATTATAGCAAAACAAACAATAACTAAACACACGAAATGCAAAAATGTCATTCAACTTTGAAAAACCACACGTGGGTCGGGCAATGTGAAGTTAGCCTCGCTCATTTTACAAATTTTGTAATGCCTATTGCATTGCGAAACAAACGATTTTTTTGCCAAAACAATCAATAACTAACAAAAAACAAACGAAAATACTTCTTATTAGTTTCTGAGTTATTTTATTGGGCGAGGCTAACTTCACTGACATCATCCGTACAACAAATATTGGCAATAGACAATAGATTTGACTACATTTCTTTGTTTCAGATGGTGGTTGGTGCCGCAGGTGGTTTTTTTAATTTCTCAGTGCCTGTCGATACAATATACACCAATTGAATTAAGCGGCGCGGATGACAGTGAATGCGCGTTAGTTATAAATGGGCAAGGAAAATCCAATGTATTTGATTACACATTCAATCTTTTACGAAGTCCGTCATTGTAAGTATATGTACAAAGTACTTTTCCTTATCCACGAGCACATGTAAATGTTCCTCACAGTGTGTAAAATCAAACTCGCTCCTCTAACTCTGGTGGTACTGGCGATAAGATTTTAGTTTTTCATGGGTCATATTATTATGAGTAAAACGAATTGAATAATTTAAATACATTTTAAAATTTAATTGGTACACCCTATATATTTTTAATTTTTGATTTTACACCATTACACCGGCTACTGACAATTTGCACGAGGTTAATCAAAGAAATAATAATTATTAATTAACAGATATGCTAACCTACTAGAAAAAATCAAAATCAAGAAGAAAATTTCTTTTATTAAACCGAAAATTAGCAAATGATTGTAGTCATTTGAAAGACATATAGGGCGCTTTGAAATACCCACTGCGTATCCATTTTAAAAAATTGACTTCACCGTGTAAAACATTCTAACATTATTTAAAGTAATAGTTATTAGATAAAATAGGGAAAATGAATGTTTGTATGTCAAAGTTTCAAGTTTCAATGTGGAATCATTGAATTTATAAGTAATATAAGGTTATAAATTCAATGGTCTATTCATTAGGGTCACTTCGTAGTTCGTTTATTACGTTTTAACGTGTTTTCCCAATTTTCGTTTTTTAGGAATTACAAATTGCAATGGGTGGTTTATTTTGCAATGAAAACCTTGTGTTTGTATCTCCTTTAGCTTTTACTGTGTTTTCATTTTTATTAAAGAGCGCGCGATAAGAACCATTAGCGCAAGTGCGACAGATTCGGACTAAATTTGACCTTTCATTCTTTAAATATTTATGTTGCATCGACGGACTTACAGACTGAATTCATTCTGTGCCCATAATAAAGTGGAGTATGTCCATATACCTACCTCTTATATACCATAATTTACAGAAATACCATTGTTATGCAATAATTTAATTTGATTTTACGTACATACCTATTGGTTGCTTAGCTTTTACAATTGAATGGGGTCACACACAAAATGACTAACCATTTGTCACCCATAGTCACTAAAGACTTTATTCTCGAGTTCATTACCTACATTAGGCAACCGCTCAAGAATTCTTGATTTATTCTGTGAGTAGGTGACTGATTAAATATTACCAAAGAGTACCTATACGAGCACATTTGATATTACCTGTCCATTTGCTTGCCGAGACAAAGTTGACCCCAATACATTGTAGCAAATGCATATCGCAATTCGCAACCACTTGAACATAGTACCATCTAACAGAAAATTAAAGGATCCCAAATAGTTTCATTTTGTTAATATTTCTTTCAGTGGATACAGTGAAGGTCGATCATGCATTACTTACGACGCCATCAATCAAGCCTATTTAGAAGCAAGGAAAAGATTTTGTAAGTGATTGATTATAGTTTAAACAACACGACCATAAAATTCTCTTACAGCGGTTGCGAATCCAATTGGCGAGTGGAAGCCGGAACATGTGAAAACCGTCGGAGAAGTTCTTCTGGACATTTCTATTAATCTTGCGAGGACGTAAGTGCATCGATTCTCAATCAAAAATGAGAAACTAATTTGAGTTATAGGTACGGTTTAAGTTATGAAGATATCGAAAAGGGTTTACCCTTAATCGATACATCACGAACACTGATAAGTGAAATTTGTCCTCCTTACCTCGCTAATGTTGAATGTCGGGCTGGAAAATACAGGAGATTTGATGGACTTTGCACCAACTTGGAGCATCCGACGTGGGGCGCTACAAATACTCCATTTACGCGGTATGTAATTGTAATACATTATGTGTTATTTAATTCTATACAATTTCTGACAGTCACCTGTTTTTATACTAGACGACGTCTAGCTATCGATCTTTATCAAAGGTAATGGTTTCCAAAGGCGCATCTGGTTTTTTGAATAACAATCTTTCAAATCGGAGGATTCGCTCAGAGAAGTCAGTTTTTCGATTTCAATAATTTCTCGAATTGTTTGTTCCAGATTTGTGGACTTTTTGTTTCAGAAAAACCTCAAATTTTTTTGGGGTTCAACTTAACATTAACTCGATCACATTTTCTAGCGCTTTGGTTTATGCTTAATTTGTGCTGATTGATGGAATATGCACAAATTTTGTGCGCTTTAATTCGAAGAAACTCATTAAGATTGATCTTACTTGAATCCTACTTATGCCTATGTTATAGTTTTGGTACATTTGTGCACCTTTTCCTAAGTTTTGTAAGCTCCTTGTTTCCGAAATATTTTTCTTGGAACATTTTGAACCTTAGGTAACAATTTTGTGCTTGCTATGTGGTGAAATGTACGTCGATCTGATTACTGTTTATCCCTTTCCTTTCGCAGGCATTCAAAACCCCTATTGTCTATCTTGGAGGTATGTGCACAATTACCGTCGCCATGTTTCACCTGGGTGTGCTGCGCTGTATTCCAGTGAAGTATCGGACTAACGTTTTTTTTCATGGAACACCCAATACTTTATTGCAAATACTTGAAAAGTGCCTATTTTATATTTAACTTTAGCTATATTGGTATTATAACCTTTCTTCGTCAAAATTGGACTGTTTTTCGAATTACTTGAAAAAAATTAAATCGTGCCGGCACTCGGCGACTAAGTTTTGCATTGAGGTAGAAACTAACTACTAACACATCTTCCATTTTACATAATTTTTTACTTTATCGAAAAAATAAAATTTTTGATTCGCCTTTGCCAAATTTAATATTTTTTAAAATTTTAAATGACACTACTAAACAAATTATTGCTCTGGATAGTCGAAAGTATAGAATTTCCACTGCTATGAAACCCACATTCTATATAGAATTCTATATACCTAGTACAGTCAAATTAGATCAAATTTCCACGAATAGCGGAAGTAATTGAAAGAAAGCTGAAAATTGGTATAGAGGTACATTAGGGCTTGTATTCGAACATACTAAAAGTCGGGGCCGAAACTCCTAGAGCTCGAGCCGCCATCTTGGAAAAAAGGTACTCCAAATGTGGGTTTTCTTATAAGAAAATTTCAGGGAAAAGCATGTCGAAACGACAATTTGTGGGAAAACCCAAGTCCGCAATGTAAAAAAAACAATATACGGGGTGGCAATTTGAAAACTTACCACCCCCCATGTCGTAGTAAATAAACGAGATATTTTAGAAAATCAAAATCCGTTTCGGTAGTTCGGAGGGGGAATCACAATGACATAGTTGGCGACGCACCCCCTCCATTCCCCTGTACCCCAGCCACCCCAACTTTTAAATCTTAAATAGTGTCCCCCATGTGTGAAACGTCGTTGGAAAGCTCTGAAAAAATGCTTTCCAACCAATAGCATTACATTTAGGTTAGTAATTATAGTGCAAATAAAAAAATAAACTAATATGATACATTTGAAATCTGTCATATTTAAAACGCAACCGGGGAACATAGACAAACTAAGACAGAGAATAATTCAAGAATGTCGAAATACTGCAAAACCAACATTTAAAAAGGTTCGACGAGAGTTTGGGAATAGATTATACTACTGTCTTACCAATAACGGAAACCATTTTGAAGATTTATTGAAATAAAAGCCAGCTTTAGAAAATTTATCATATTAGTAAGACATAAGACATGGGGGGTAGTAAGTTTTCAAATTGCCACCCTGTATGTAGTTAAGATGTTGTTTATTAAAAAAAGTGTGTGGATTTACAACTACTAAAGTGAAAATGGTGCACCAACACAGGAGTGCGCAGTGTCAAAAATTTGGTTTAACGCATGTGCAATTGTTTTGCGCATGCGCAATGCCAACTTTCTTATTTATAAAAGCATTTAATAGTTATTTATGTATTAAGGGCATAATAGTGATGTTTATATGCTCGAGGGCCGATAGGCCCGAGAGATTTTTAGTCGCCCGAGATTATAAACATCAGTTTATGCCCGTGGTACATACAAAATTTTATGTCTTACAAATAGTTTTCTTCGTCAAAGTAAATATTCGTTTACAAAATAATTCATTATGTTTGATTAAGTATGCGTGGTTCGAATTTTTTAACGTGATTGAAACCATCCAAACGCAAACGTAATTTTATTAAATAATTCAATTCATCGTGAATGAGGAAGAAGTTCCAGAAACTATTCGAAATAAGGCCAATCTTGTGATTTAGTAAAAGGTATTGACTATTAATAATTACGTTTCTAATTTTCAATGACCTGCAAATATTTGTTTGTTTTGCTCGAGGTTTTGCTACTAAGTATAAATGAGTTACTATGGTGATACTTAATGCCCTAGGGCATAGGGCATAAAGTGGTACTTTATGCCCGCGTATCACAGATATAAAATGTGCTATCATAGTAAGACATAAATGAAATTTAATACATAGGCACTTGGAATACAAGCAAATCACCAGCTGCACTTTTGCCTGTTTAGACCGACAAGAAAAGTACCGCATGAATTCTTCCGCGGGTTCTACCAAAGATCATACTACACTGATCTTTGGTTCTACCAAATGGACTCGCAATGCTATTTACACTATGACAGCAGTCGTTCGACAGTAAATCGCGCGAGTTTTCTTGCTAGTCTTGCAGTCTAATCGTTAGGAACTAGATTATATAATACGAAAATGTTTTCCTTCATTGTCATGTTCGTGCCACATATCAATGTGAAAAATGCGCAATAGTACCATTGATAGATACCAAATATAGCTTTGTTAGATAAAACCAGGTGTCAAATTCTTGACAGAATAGCGTCCTAGCTGAAACCAAAAATTGCCAACATACAGGGTGATTCCTATAGTACCTGCCACCGTTTGGGAGCGTGTAGGTGGTGCGTAGGGGAGTATTTTGATATAGGACACTTGGGGTCGGAAATCTAAAATAAGGGTGCCAGAGCCAAATTTACCTTCTGGAATTTCGCGCCTGTAGGTAGGCAACCCAACCGGCCGGCGGTGCACACGGAGCGATCTCAGGCGGCGATGTGTGGCTGACACTTGATCAGAATTTTGTTTAAACCCACGAAATCCCGTCTGCAACGACGCGTATCAAGTGAATAAACACTATGGCAATAGTATAATAATAGTTGGCTAGATGTAGGAAGTGCATTGAGAACAACGGTGGCCACGTTGAACACTTGTAAACGTTATTGCTTTTGACTGTCGTTTTCCCTCCTTCCCTCCCATGTCGCTTCCTCGCGCTAACTCGCTCTGCATCGCTCCGCGCGAAACGTCGGTCGGTTGGGTTGCCTACATACAGGCGTGAAATTCCAGAAGATAAATTTGGTTCTGGCGCCCTTATTTTAGATTTCCGACCCCAAGTGTCCTATATCAAAATACTCCCCTAGGCACCCCCTATACGCTCCCAAACGGTGGCAGGTACTATAGGAATCACCCTGTATGTACGCACTGCTTTTATTAGAGGGACCTACCATCCAAATTTCGTTAAAATTGCTCCTTAAATAAGAAAGTTGGATGTTGCACATGCGCAACACTATTTTTTGCGCATGCATGTTGTTAGCTTTTATTAAAAGGACCTACCATCTAAATTTCGTTAAAATTGTTCCATAAATAAGAAAGTTGCATTTCTGCGCATGCGCAACACGATTTTTGCGCATGCATTTTGTTTGCTTTTATTAGAGGGACCTACCATCCAATTTTCGTTAAAATTGCTCCATAATTAAGAAAGTTGGATGTTGCACATGCGCAACTCGATTTTTTGCGCATGCATTTTGTTTTCTTTTATTAGGAGGACCTACCATCCAAATTTCGTTTTAATTGTTCCATAAATAAGAAAATTGCATTTCTGCGCATGCGCAACACGATTTTTGAGCATGAATTTTGTTTGCTTTTATTAAAGGGACTTACCATAGAAATTTCGTTTATATTGCTTCAGAAACAAGATCGTTGCGTTTTGCACATATGCAACACAATTTTTTGACTTTTGACAATTTTTTTCTCCGTTTTTTGATAATATAACCCGGCCCAATTTTTTGTAGGTTGTACACAGGAAAATAAGGTCTTCCAAATAATAGAATAAAAATTTTAGGTTGCTATTTGTTTTCTCAGAAAATTGCCAACAAACGTACGTACGTACACGTACGTACGTACGTACATACAAACGGAAAAAAATTTTATTCTTTAAAAGTTGCTTAAAATGGTCTAAAACGTCGACATTTGATGAAATTTTGAAATGTTCAAAAAACGGCTATCGCAATAGCTACCTAGCACATGCTAGGAAGCTAAAAATAATCGGCTCAAATCAGTGCAAGGTAGTCAAGGAAAGCGTCTCTTAATTGAAATTTAAAATCAATTTAGTATTGTGAAATACCGTATCTTTCAACTAGTGCAAGAAGTTGCATTTTTAATTCAAATGACTAATGAGAGTTAAAAGGTGCCATTCACATGCGAATATGTACCAAAGTTAGTAGGTATATTAGATATGTACGGCGGATCTGTACGGCGTCGATGGGCAGATCCGCCTTAAGCTACACACACCCGGATTTGTCTGTACACAGATCACGGAAAAATCTCAATAGACCAGCAGGCGGCGTTCTCTCCCTATTTCAGTTCTTTAGTAGTTGTCCCTGGGCTGTTATGTCGAGTGATGTGCTAATTGCTATGAATAATAAAAAGAAACTGGCAATAATATTGATCGACGGACAGCCAGCAGGATATTGTACGCCGAGCAGGCGGATACACACATTATACGAATTGATACGGATCGTCCGGCGTACAGATTCGCCGTACATATCCGCATGTGAATAGGACCTTTTAGACGGGTCATGAAAATTGGAGGTCGTAAAAGATTATCGATTACTTGGGTTGATAACACAAACTTAAACCTCTCGCCAGGAAAGATGGCCGGTCACAGAACACTTGATCCCGGTCTACAATCTATGTTTTCTAAAGATGTGAGCGACTTCCGGGATAGTAGGGATCGTGTCAATGTTGAACAAAAAGACTTTTCGTTCAACATTTTCACGATCCTATTCCGGAAGTCACTCGCATCTTATGAAAAACATAGATTGTAGATCGACACAAGGTGTGCTGTGACCGGCAATCTTTCCTGGCGAGAGTTATAGTAGCCATATCAGCATTGTCAGCCAGTGATTATGTATGTAAATTTATGTCTATAAATGCAACATGACTACTTAGCTAAATAGGTATAGAGATCGATAGGTAGGTACACATCGTTTGTCTAATCATGCTGTAAGTACCATACGGGAGAGACTTTTCCAGTGATTAAGTAGATTTTATGATTCTGTTCAGCGTTGTTGTTAATTCGACACAGAAGGAGTGGGTTACTATTGTTTTTTGCAAGGTTGCCACATGGCTGGTATTGTCTCGGAATTATAGCTGCACTGTCAAAGGACCCGGAAAAAAATAATGCAACGTCTTAAATCAAAATTATACAAAGTGTCAATAAATAGGTACCCAAACCTAAACATAGCTTTGGCAAAGGTACGCACTATAACGTGTACTGCTTGATAACTGAAAACCGGCAGCTACTTCCAAAGGCACAGGGTCGTGGGCAGGGGTACTTTGTTGGAAAAGGCGCCACTTAGTTTTTTAAAAAAAAACTAAGAAAATTTATAAATACATACAATTGAATAACTAGTATAATTAATTAAATATTTGACGATGACTCGAGTCGCAAAACAAGTTACAAAAGAACACTGCTTTTTTTTATAATTATATGCTACCACACTAACTATTATAGTTACAGAATAATTAATTACAATTACAAATACGCTACATACAACACACATCCATTCACACATGCATTCACACCTTTGCGTACCTTGTTTTGTTGTACCCATAAACAAGAGATCTTCTTAATGGTTGCGGTCGCCAGATGACCGAAGTATGATTTTGGATAGGACAGTTTAGTGGCACCAATCTGATTGTCGCATGGAGTGTCTTCCGGCTTTCTGACATGAATTGAAATATGGCGATGAGTTGTACAATAGGTACTCCAGAGGCATCAAGTATGATGCTGATAAAAGGATTTATCTTTCAATGAATTTTTCCCATAAAAAACCCTAGAAAACGGTTTCCGATATTAGCAAAGGAATTGTTTGATAAGAACAACTTACATCAAATTGAGGGCCGTTCTCTTGCTCCGCTTATACCTTATACGTGAAAGTCAATTCTTTCGCTCACTCATTTTGCCGTTATCTCATTTTATTTAAGAAATTTTTGAATATGTAATAACATCTTACATTATACTTTTAATACTAGGTATATAAAGGAGACCATTTTAAATTCAATCACACTCCAATTTTTGAACGGCTATACAGCACAAAAGTAGAAATTTAATTTATACTACTTTGGATACCAACTGATCACTGTCACGTATCCATAACGCGTGAACGAAAAGTTGCACCCCTCAATAAATATTCAGTTTCCGGAAAATTAACAAAAAATTATCGAAGAGATCAAAGTTTTTTCAAAGGGAGTGGAATATATAACCTCACGTCTTACATTTTATTTTTTGAAAAATGATTTATTAGCGGGAGAATTATTAATAGGTACCTACACCTATTTAATCATTATAAATGTGTAACTTTCATTTTCAGTTTGATCGGACCCTTGTTTGCTGATGGTATTTCTGCTCCTCGGATAAGTGTTACTGGACATGACCTACCCTTATCCCGAGTCGTATCACGAACGATGCACCCCGACGAAGGCTTCCATGACCACGCAGGAACCGTTATGGTAATTGCATGGGGACAATTTATGGATCACGATTTCACTCTTACTGGTACTCCTCTAGGTACGTCATAAAATCGTTCATTTTTTGTAATGTGGATATAATACCTACTGTAAAGTGACAAGAGTTGCTGTCGAGTGAGCTTTGGAGTTTTTATTTACATGGGAAATCATATTTAACTTGAACTTCAAAATGCGACTCGACCTCAATCCATTTTTGATCGCCCCTTACAAAAAAGCAGCTTTTCTACTTTGTAGTATAAATTTACGTGCGGGGATTTAAACGATGTGATTGGTAATTATCGCGGCGGCAATAGCTGCTCTTACAACGACAAAAAAACTTCCAGACTATTCTGTATAACGTATTGCCGTATGAGCCACCTTAGCGCCCAGAACTAGGCCCAGAATAACCTACATGAAAATACAAAATACTGAAATGTAACGCAGAATAAATAAATAAATGGTACTGTCACCCCGGTATTCACCACTGAAAAATGACCAAAAGGCATAAAAAACTGGAATTATAAACTTAACTGCATTTATTTTTACAATCAATTTTTAAATCACACATTCGACTTGCCCAAATTACACAAGACAAGACCGGGTACGTAAACACATGTGACACATACGTTACGCCATTGATATACTGTGACGTGAGTTAAGATGGGCCTCCTTTTTCGCAAAACCTGTCACATAAATGACCAGTTAGCTCAGGGATGTTAATATTTAAAAGGACATGAGTCGCTAATTCGGTAGAGCTTATCAAATCTTCATACGCTTCGCCGCAACTTACCATCTAATTGAGCGCCACCCAGTTTCTTTAAATTGTTGAACCTCTTCCTCTTATGAAACTGGCATGTATTGAACGAAAGCGATAAAATAACATAGTTGCAATTTCTCGCAACGAAATGATCCAATAATTTATTTTCAATTAATAGTAGGGGTTCTCAAAAGTTCAATAATAATCAATAGTTAATCTAGTCTCGCAATTAGATTTGACATTCCTATCTCAAACGTGATCGACTACGTAAATGTACAAATAATCAATGCAACAATCAATCTTACCTTTAATGAAGAAATTGGCGTTTCGCCGTCGCCGTCTCACCGTGGCTATCTCGCCGTCGTCATTTCACCGTGGCCACTTCGCCGTACACCATCTCGCCGTCGGCCGTCGGCCATTTGATCATCAACTTCCACATATTTATTTATAAAAATAAGGAAATTGTTTCAAATCCAACTTTGTTATTGACAGGTAGGTGTTTTATACTATACAGGGTGGCACAACGAAAACGAAATATTTTTGTGGAAATGGGTTAAAAAGGATTTGGTTGAATTTCTTAATTTTGGTGCAGATCATCAACAGCCTAGTTAAGTAGATTGTAAAAATCTCAAACTGTATCCTAAACAATCGTCAATAACCTCGTTAATTTTACCAAACAGGCTCAGATATAAACGGCTAATACCGCATTTATTGGTTTAATAAGTATTAATAAAGTTTCAAAAAAAAGATTTAATAATTCTCACCCGTTAAGATAATAATAATAAGATGAAATAGGTACTATTTTAATTTAAAAAATTAAAACCTAAATATACAAATGTTTTCTCTTTGTCGTATGACGTAGGTATGTACTTTGTGTTGTGTTGCAAACATCTTTTATAAAAATAGAAAACGTATAATTTATTATATGACAAATATTACATTTACATACATACACAGTGTTATTACAGTTTATCACAGGCGCAGGCGTACATTATTAGAAAATTCATCATTCCTCATCAAGTAATTGCGTAAGAGTAATTAAAAATCCCAACTGAAATACACAAACGCAAAGATAGAATAATAGGGCAACAAAATCTCACATAAGCACATAAGACATCCCAAATAAAAAAATCGGGTTTTAATCAAATGCAAAATTTTTTAATGTAAAGTTTGCCTCCAGTGAGGATTGAACTCACGACCCCTGGTTTACAAGACCAGTGCTCTGCCACTGAGCTATAGAGGCTCATGATTTTAGATAAAAATGAAAAGCTGTCCCGCCAGCAGAAAGTATTTATATCTTTCAGTGAGTATCGTATCAGACTTCAGAGTAAAACTTACTCTGAGGTTCGGATATTTATTCCGGACCGTGAAAAGAATTTGCAAAATTTAGGAGAGGAGATAGGTACATTCTATATTCGACCAACAAGTTTGAGACAGAAGATCCGTGAGTCGAATCCCATTATAGGCATGTAAAACTATTGCAAGTAAAAGGGAGTGATGAAATCAACCGCTATCAATCCACTACTTCGCAGCTCGGTTATTATGGATGTAGTATTTTATTATTAAACGTGCAAATTTCCGGTTGTAAAGGTTATATTGAGAAAGACATGGACAGAAGGGCAATACTTTTCTTCACAGTTTGATGTGATCTAATCTTTGCCAATAGCATCAGCAATACATAGCTACTACAAAATTAATATTATTGTCAGAATCTTTTGAATGCGGAACCTTTAAGTTATGTAAACAACAAAATTTTTGGATGTCTATATTCATAGCAACAACAAACTTACCTGTCCTAAAAATCCTCTCATATTCAACAACTGCAGCACAGTGATCGATTTCAGGGTCCTAAGTGGGGATTATGATTTTATAAGTAGCATATTTTTTAAATTATGTCCCAATTTGTCAATTATCCAAGCAAAATAATCAATTCGTCATAATCTAGCAAGCAAACGTCACATATTGACGTTTTATAACACTTATGGCGTAGTAAACTCAGACATTCACACTACTCACTATATCTGTCATGACCAGTACTCGTCAAGGCGCACTTTCTCACTTTGAATTCTATAAAATAGCGTTGAGAGATTTTCAATACGTTTCGTTTCAGAGAAATCCTCATTACTTTTTTTGTATAGCTCGTAAAAAAAGTACACACTGTAATGAGTAACATTTTTTGTTACGAATATATAACGATACACGGCAGACAAAAGGAAACTAAAGTTGGAAACGGTTGGTTTTAACGGGATGGTGCACCAGTACACATCGCTCTAATGGTGCGAGAATATCTTACCTACCGGACATATTTAGATTTTCCAGGAAATTTGTGGGATAGGTGTGTTGAAATCAACAGTGTTCAACTTTTGTTTTTTGTGTGTACCGTATTGTACCGTATATAGATGTATTCGTAATAAAAGATGCTACTCAATACAGTATGTACTTTTTTACGTGCCATATAAAAAATATCGTTGATGATGATTTCTCAGCCTTAATACGGAATACTCTCAAACAAAATAGGAGTTGGTGGCTCCTGAAAAATTGGTTAACTTGAACTGAAATTAACTGCTTTTGACTTCTCTTGATTTTGTGAAAAAATCTATTTAATTTAATAAGTTCAGCATTTTTATCAATTTTTTTTTAATTTAGATTAAAGTATAATTTGATTTTTAAGTTTTAGAATATCTTAAATAAATAATTAAAAATATATTATGTTAGTAAATAAAAAATTTCTCTCATTCCAATCCCTCGCGGCAATGTTCCCAAAACATTTGCTACATTGCCGCGTTGTATCGCATTTGTTGTTGGAGATATGTTTTGGCTTTATGAACTCCCGTTTTTGTTTGTAGCAAGGAACCTATTTCATGCCACAATGTTTTGACTTCTTCGCTCCAGGTTCCCATGGTTTCAATGGCGAAAGCAACAAATTCATATGTTTCTTTAATATCTTTGTATTTCTTGTACTTCAAAGAAACTGCAGAAGCCGCGGCAGAACCTGCGATCAAACAGCTGTTCTGAAGGTGAGAAGCAACAACAGTGTCGACGCATGTCACGTCCCAAACTAAAGAACGTCCTCTTTTCCACGAAATGAAAGACATTCCGTCTAGACGTTTACCATCCGTTCGGAAAAGTCAACATGGTTCTAATAAATTTGGGATATAATTGATATCAGAGCCCCTTTTAAAATGTTATTTATGGCACTATGGCGTGAGAATCTACCTGAACTTTTCGAACAAGATAGACCATGATGTCCTAGAGCATTAACAGAAGCACCACAAATACATGTATGAGATTGGCAAATGTTTAAACCAATCCTTAAAGAGACTGCAATTTGTAAAGCTTGTTTGTCCCGTAAAGTACCAAGTTGTACTGAAGGTAATGCATTTAACCAGGCTCTGGTTGTGATGAAACAAGTAAAACAGCTATATGTGGGGCATGAGAATGAGATATAATATTTTTAAACTTTTCTTGCACAAGAGAAGAATCCCAACTTTTCTGAAAATTTGGTGTTGTAGGTAAATTTAACTCAGGGTGTTCTGTTTTCCAAAAATTTAAAGCTTCCGTTTTATACTGAATCTCAACTTTTGAATTAAGAATTATTCCGACAAGATTGGAAGTACAATGAACAGAAGCCAAAAAAGCTGGTAATGATAAATCTGAGATGAAACGAATACCTAAACCTCCTAAACGTACTGAAAGTGATGCCTGATTCCAACTGTTGTCAGTAAGTTGGCACTGCGCATGCGCAAAACCAAATTTTTAGATTTTCCTTTATTCCAAGTGCCTATGTATTAAATTTCGTTTAAATTCTTCCACAAATAAAAAAGTTGTCACTGCGCATGCGCAAAACCAAATTTTGAAACTGGCGTTAGATTTTCACTTATTCCAAGTGCCTATGTATCAAATTTCATTCAAATACTTTTATAAATAAAAAAGTTTGCAATTCGGTTTATAAATGGTCGAGATGCGAAGTAGGACACTGTGAATTTTGAACCGATTCGACTCAACTTTTGACATTGCGTATTATATGGCTAAAAGTTATGCCCATATTGAATTTCATGCAATTCAGTTCATAACTAAAGGAGATGTCAACAAAGTTATCGTTCACACGGACAGATAGAGGGACAGACAGACAAAGGAACAGACGAACAGACCAACAGACAGACGACAGACAGCAATACAAAATATAAACGATCTCTAGGATCGTTAATAAACGACGAAAGTGTAAAATTATGGAACATGTAAAAAACGGTTTTTTGGTTTTTTTACAATAACTTTTTTAGCAATAAACGCAGAAAAAATAACCT